CAGTGGGACTCTACTTGGGCAGCTGCATAAGAAAGACCTCAGCCTTTTCCTTGGAGAAGATAGACTCCCACTATGTGGTCAAGGCTGGCCTTATACTCCCTACCCCACCTTCCTCCTCTCTGGCATGCACCATCATTCCTGGGTCAAGGTGTATCACTTTGGCTCCTCCTTCCACTGCATTGAGGCTGGGTCTCTTTGTCACAGCTGTGTATCCTAACTGATACGCACAGTAGGAGGTGGGTTTTCAGCCCAGGCAACCTGGTGATAATCTCCTCACCATTTGGACTTCATCTTAGAGGGGTCCCCAGACCCCAGCAGGGCCATAGGCTCTCTCCACCTCATTGTACTTGTGTCCAGGGAAAGCTGTGTCTTCATCTTCAATACCTGTGAAGGCTGGAGTTGGCAGACATTAGTATTGGGGAGGGAAAGTTCCCCTCAAAGGCTCATATGTTGGGGTTTAAGCAACGGTTAGTGGTGCTAGTCTGGGAGATATTGGAAACTTTCAGTGGAGGGAATGCCTGGCTGGACGAAGCAGGTCACAGGGATGTGTCCTTGGGGGGAGGGCTCTCTTGCCTCTGGTCCCCTTCCTGTCTGGCTCACTCTGCTTCCTGTCCACCATGAAATGAGCAGCTATCCTGGGCCACACAAACATGTAGCCAAGCAGCCATGGAGAGAACCCTCTGAAGTGAGGCAATAGAAACCTGGCCTCCTCGGCTGTCCTCTGAGGTATTTTGGTCATAATATACAGAAGTAGCTAACAGAGCTTGGAAGGAAAAGATATCAGAGGGCCAAGCTCAGATGTCAGGGTACCTGGAAACGGGGAGTCCTGGTGTGGTCATGACTCACCTTGGTGATAAGACACCTCTTCCAGTGTGGGGGGAAGCTGGGGGCTGAAGTCCCTCATGTAGTGGTAATGTGGTTCCACTTCTGTGCTAACCTGTCACACATACACATGCACACGCATGAACACACATGCACGAACACAAACATACACATGAACACACACATGAACACACATGAACACGCACACGCGAACACACACAAACACATACATGTGCGTGCACACACGCCCCGCAAACAAATACATGAGCACACACATGAACACACATACGAATACACGCATGTACATGCATGAACACATGCACACACATGAAAACACATGTACATGCATGAACTTGCACATGTGAACATGCACACATGCAATGCAATGCACAAACACATATATGAGCCACACATGAACATACAGACACACACAAACACATGCACACACGAACATGAACACATGCATGCACACACATGAATACATGCATGAGCATACATGCACACACATACACACAAACATGCACACATGAACATGCGTGCCCATGCACGCACACACATGAACACACACGAGCACACACATGAGCACACATGAACACAAGACACCTGAAAACACATGTGCAGACATTAACACATGCATGAACACACATGAACACACAAAACCAGGAAACAAGGTCATTTCCCTTGACTTGCTGGTTCCAGGAGATGACAGTGATTAGCTGAGCTGAGCTGGAGGCTGCCGGGCCACCCTCACTCACCATGGAGCTTCTTGTGTCCCGGTCCCCAGTCCACTGACTCTCCTCATACTCATTCCTAATTCGGTCTTCCTCCGACCTTCCAGGACGAAAGTGTAGGTGAAAATGGGCACTGAGTCTGCCACCCGTCCACACTCCTGAGCTCTCCCGCTTACCCCGCCTCTGTCTTCTCTGAGATCTCTGAAACAGGAAAAGGGGGCCTCAGAGACTCTGCTCATGCCCACGGACCTGCCTGGGCAGAGCTGTGCTGTCCCACCCATCGGGTCTCCAGCTTGGCAATTGGGGGGCCCTCTCCTCACCCTCAGCAAGGCGCCTCAATCTCCGCCGCCAGAGGAGTCCCCCGGCACAGGAGGCGCTGGACAGCAGTAGAAGACCACCAGCCGCAAACAGCACGGGCAGCAGGGGCAGCGTCAGGGGTCCTGGGAGTGAAAGATGCGCTTGTGAACCCCAACACCTGGATGCAGGGTTCTGAGAAAGCTGGTCCCTGACTGAAGGACCATCAGCGTTAACCTCCAGAAGATGGGTGCAGCAGAGCACTTTGGGGTGACAGCACTGTGTAATGGGTTAACTGAGGGGGGAGCCAGGCCTAGGTGTGTGTGGCACCATGCCCCCGGGCTGGGAACACAGAGAATCAGTAGAGGAAGGAGGAAGCTGCCCTGAGCATGGACATTCTTTCTCCCTTTGCTTTTTGTCCACCATGGTGCGAACTGAGCTGTGCCCCATGGTGAACTGACACCTCCAAAACCGTGAGCTGAAGCAAATCCTTCCTTCTCCTGAGTCCTCCTGTCAGGTACTGTCAAGTGAGCACAGCAGTAACTCACTGCCACCAGCAGAGGTCTCCACGGTCAAAGAAGGCAGGTCCAGGACTCCTGCTCCACCCCATCAAAAATGATCTGTTTGTGATGTGTGGGAGTGTATGCATGAGCGCATGTGCACTGTCCACGTGTGGGAGTGGAGGTCCGTGTTGGGTGTTTTCCTCTACTGCCCTCTGCCTTATTTTTAAAAAATATACACATACATAGATATACATACACACATACGTGCACAATACACATATACATACACATGTCATATACATATATACACACATAGCATATGCATACACACATACACATAACATATACACATATGTATACCCATATATACATATATACGTAAGCATATATATGTCAGATCAATTTATTTATTTCATATGTTTAAATGTTTTGCCTGCACATGTGTATGTGCATCATGAGTGTGTGTCATGTGCCTGAGGTCAGGAGAAGGCATCAGACTCCCTAGAACTGGAGTAATGGATTATAGTGAGCCACCATGTGAGTGGTTCTGGAAGAATAGCCAGTGGTCTTACCACAGAGCCATCTCTTCAGCTCCTAGTTTAGTTTTTTTTTCCCATTTATTTATTATATATAGTGTTCTGCTTGCAGGTATGCCTGCACAACAGAAGAGGGCACCAGATCTCATTATAGATGGTTATGAGCCACCAGTTGGTTGCTGGGAATTGAACTCAGGACCTCTGGAAGAGCAGTCAGTGCTCTTCACCTCTGAGCCATCTCTCCAGCCCCCCCCCCAGTTAGTTTTTAAGAGTTATTTATTTTTGTTTTATGTGGATGAGTATTTTGCCTGTGTGTAAGTGTGTACACAATGTGTGTGCAGTGCCCACAGGAGGCCAGAAGAGGGCACTGGATCCCATGGAACTGGAGCTATGGATGACTGTGAGCCACCTGATGTGGGACCAGGAACTGAACTTGGATTCTTTACTGTCTCCCTGGCTCCTGTCTTGTTTCTTTGGGACAGCGTCTCACTGAGGTTGAGAGCCACTGCTTTAGCTAAGCTGGATAGCCAGCAAGCCTTTGGGGTCTCCTGTCTCTGTTCCCCAGGCCCAGGTTACAGCTGTGCAGCCATGTCAGGATTTCACGCAGCTGCTAGCGATCTGGACAGCAGGTGCTTTACCCACCGAGCCATCCCCCAGTCCCTGCACCCTTCTTTCCATCCAAGGCAGGTGGCTTCTTCCTCAAGTCGAGCTGTTAGCAGTGGGTCCTTGCTCCAGTGGAGCCCTTCTGTGACAGGAATCCCCTGCACACCGGTCCATGTTAAGGCATGCCATTTGCCAGTGGGGGAGAGTGGCTAAAGGGCCGGAATTCAAAGCATGAGATAGCAGAGCTTGCCTTTCTTGCTGTTCTTGGAGCCCGTGACTATCTCCATGTGAGCACTCCAAGGAACAATTACCTCCATTGTCCCAACCATGAGGCAGATGACTGCTACACCCATGAGAATGGATCCATCTGAGATCAGTCACAGTCTAGAGGTCAGCTGACCATAGAGATGATTTAAGCGAGCCCAGGCCAGAACTATCCCAGCAGACTCATAGAATCATGGGAAATAATGTATGTTGCCAAGCTCCTCCATGTTTGGGCTAGTATGTTACACAGCTGAAGCTAACTGATACAGCCACCTCACAGAGAGAGCATGGATGTAGCCAGTTCTTTTTGGTTGTTTGCTTTTGGAGGTGGAAGTGTCTCTCTATGCAGCCCAGACTGACTTCAAGCTTGTGGTTCTCCTGTGAGCCTCTGGAGTGCAGGGATATGGGTGAGGACCAGCTAGCTGATGGCTTTAGAACTAAGACAAGGCTGGGAAGATGGTTCAGGAGTAAGAGCACAAGATTCAAACCCAAGTTTGAATCTCCAGCATCCACACAAAAGCTGGCTATGATGTCTGTGTGTGTGTGTGTGTGTTAGAGACAGAGAATATGTGCACGTGTGTGAGTGTGCCTTTAATCCTAATACTCAGGGAGACAAAGGCAGACAAATCTCTGTGATTTCAAGGCCAGCCTGGTCTATATAGCGAGTTCCAGGACAGCCAGAAATATGCTGAGAAACCCTGTCTCAAAGAAACAAAAGAAAAAAGAAAACAGCTATCTCTAGATTCACAGACCCTGTCTCAGGGGACCAAGGCAGAGAGTGATAGAGAACTTCCAATGTCGTCCTTGAGCGTCTGCCAGAGGACATTCTCTCTCTCTCTCTCTCTCTCTCTCTCTCTCTCTCTCTCTCTCTCTCTCTCTCTTTCTCTCTCACGCACGCATGCAAGCACACACCTGTGAGCCTATGCACAGACAGCATTAAACTAAATTATGCCAGGCACGAGGGTTCATACTTGTAAATCCAGCGTTGGAAGACTGGGGTAAGATTACTACAAATTCATGGCAAGACCCTGTCTCAAAAACAAAAAGAAACTGGGACTGGGGCTACACTGCAATGTGGTTGCGGTTGTGTGCAGGCACGGCACTAGGTTTGATCCCAGCGTTGCACAAAAAGAGCTAAACCAGCTTACAAAAGAAGAGTAGAAAGGGACCTGTGGGGACCTGCAGAGGGTCAGCTAAGTCTTTGGCAGTGATGGGCACAAGGGAGGAGGACGGGGGAGGGAGCACTTGCCTGGAGGCTGCTCTGTGGGTAGCTGGTGGTCTGTGTCTTCAAGAGTCTCGTCCAAGCCTGCGGTGGAGAGAGATTAAATTAATACCGGGAATCGGATCAGCCTGAAGGATCCTCTGCTTCCTAAGCTCTTCAGCTGACTTAAAAGATCATGGGAATGGCATGTGACTTCTTAGGGACGTTTTATTTTATTGCTTTTTTAAAAGATTTGTTTTTTATGTGTATCAGTGTTGTGCTTACGTGCATGTATATGTACCATGTGCATGTCTGGTGCTCAGATGGTTGTGAGTCACCATGTGGACCAAACCCAGACTCTCTGCAAGAGTAACAGGTGCTATTATTGATTGAATCAACTCCCCTGCCCTCTCAGTGACGTTTTAAAGACAACACACTACAGCAGTCCTGTGCCAATAATCACAGTGAATTATTAATTAGTGTTTTATAGTGAGCATGTTCCTTTAATGTGAATTACCAATTTGTCGAGTTAATAAAAAAGGGTGCTGGGAGAGGGGGAGATGGCTCAGTGGAGCGCTGTGCATTCTAGGCCAGCCTGGTCTACAGAGTGAATTCTGGGTTAGCCAGAGGTACACAGTTAGACCCTGTTTGAAAACAAAACAAGTATCTCCCTATTTTCCCATTCTCCAGTCGTTACAGACCAGTGGCTAAAAGTTGGTCCTAGAGCCCTTCCCTGCCTGAGTTCAAGGCTTTCATCTCCAGCTCCTCCTAGCCGTGTGACCTTGGCCCATTTGCTTAACTGCCCTGGGTCTCAGTTCTTTGATTTGTGAGTAGGAGAAATAACAGCTTCTACTTTGCTATACCTTCCCCAAAGTTGTCCAAAAACCCACAAAACTTTCCCCTGCTCAGGACTGCCTCTTCCCACCTGGGGTAGTGATGGAGACCTGGATCCCTTTGTCAGTCAATCCACTGTCGCCAAGGGCATTGCTGGCCAACAGCCAGATCCTGTACCGCGTAGAAGGCTTCAGTCCAGTCAGCGTGAAGGTGGTGGCCTGGGGTGGCAGGACATCCACTTAGAGGAAGCCTGGCGTCTCGAGGGCCTCATACCTGTGTGGGGGAACCGGTCAGCCAAGCGTCTCTCTCCACTGTCTGGCCCGCGTCTCCTGCCTCGGTGGAGGCCCCACCTGATCTGGAACCGCTGAGGCAGACCCCCGTCAAAGCCAGGCTTCCACTCCAGCCCTACGGAGTGAGGGGTTGTGCTCACCACCTTCAGTCCCCAAGGAGGGTCAGGGCGGCCTGGGAAAGAGGGGATTGTTAGGGGGTACAAAAGGAGTCTAGAAGCCTCCTTCCAGAGTCTCACAACCACCTGTAACTCTACAGTTACCTGGCACACAAGTAGTTCACAATATACATGGATACACAACACTCACACACAGAGAATTAAAACAAATGAACTTTAAAAAAATCACCTTGAACACTGAATCCAAAAACCCCAAGTTTTGCTTCCAGCCAAGTGCGTGGGGAAGGCAATCCTCCCCACCACATTTTCTTCCCTCCTTGTTTGTTTGTTTGTTTGAGACAGGGTCTCCCTCTGTAGCCCTGGCTGACCTGGAACTCACAGAGATCCACCTGCCTTTGTCTCCCCAGTGCTGGGATTAAAGGTGTGTGCCACCACACTCAGATTCAAACAATTTTTTTATTATATTCTATGTATTTCTCTCTCTCTCTCTCTCTCTCTCTCTCTCTCTCTCTCTCTCTCTCTTGTGGAGATCAGAGGACTATTTGTGGGAGTCAGTCCTCTTCTGTCACCATGAGGGCTCCAGTGGTGGAACTTGGGTCAGCAGCCTTGATAACAGAAAGCTTTTCCTACTGAGCCATCTCACTGGCCCAGGTGATTTTTAAAATTTTTCAATTTATTTGTGTACCTTTTAAAAAATATTTATTTATTTGTTATATATACAATATTCTGTCTGTGTGTATGCCTGCAGGCCAGAAGAGGGCACCAGACCCCATTACAGATGGTTGTGAGCCACCATGTGGTTGCCGGGAATCAAACTCAGGACCTTTGGAAGAGCAGGCAATGCTCTTAACCGCTGAGCCATCTCTCCAGCCCCCTATTTGTGTACTTTTTATGAGAGTGTTCTGTTTGCATGTACAGCTGCAAGCCAGAAAAGGGCAGCAGATCCCATTGTAGATGACTGTGAGCCACCACGTAGGTGCTGGGGATTGAACTCAGTTCCTCTGGAAAAGCAGTCAATGCTCTTACCCACTGGGCCATCTCTCCAGCTCCCCAACTGTTTTTTAAACTTCTATCTATCTATCTATCTATCTATCTATCTATCTATCTATCTATCTATCTATCGACAGGTCTATAGGCAGAGGTCTATAGATAGGGTCTCCATAGGTAGCCTAGGTTAGCCTGGAACATTTTGATCCTCTGGCCTTAGCTTCTCTGCTTCTGGGATTACAGGTGTGTATCCTTATACTGGTTCCACTCATAAATTTTAATTTTATATATGTTTCTGGTTTTTAAACAAGCCATCTTATCTAGTATATATTGCTGATTCACTCCCACTGAAGATGTGGCCAGCTGGAAGCAAACATGTGGCTCTGTTGGCAGGGTGTTTTTTAACATCCATATATGTTGCAGAAAGCCGATCTCTGAGTTTGATCCCCAGCCCTTCATAAACTCAGAATGGTGGTGCCCATCTGCAATCCTACTACCCAGAGGTGGAGACAGAAGGACCAGGAATTCAAAGTCCATCTCTGGCACCCAGCCAGTGAGGCCGCCATCACTCTCACTTGCTCTTCAGCAAAGGTCAGTCAATGCAAATTAATTCCTCCTTGAGGTATGACATAACCTCTTTCCTCTTCTTTCCCTTTAAAGATTTGCTACTTATTTTTACTTTATGTGCATGGGTGCTTTGCCTGCGTGTATGTGTGTGCAGCACATGCATGCAGTTCCTGTAGAGACCTGAAGAGGGCGTTAGATCCCCTAGAACTAGAGTTACAGATGCTGTGAGCCACCCTGTGGATGCTGGGAATTGAACCCGGGGTTCTCTGTAAGAGCAACCAGTGCTCTTAACCACTCAGACATCTCTCAAGCCGCCCACAAACTTCTTGAATTTAGGAACATGACAAGCTATTTTAGCCTTCTTCATGGTGACCATTTTAAATTACAAAAAATACCAACAAAATGAAAAACCAAGACAAATCCCACAGCCCTAAGTAGGCCACATAAAGAACACACATTGACATCATGACCTCTAGGACAAGGCAGAATGTCACTGGTTCACCATCAATAAGAACATGCCCCTTAAGCTGGGCAGTGGTGGCACACACCTTTAATCCCAGCACTTGAAAGGCAGAGGCAGGTGGATCTCTGTGAGTTCAAGGCCAGCCTGGTCTACAAAAGTGAGTTTCAGAACAGCCAGGACTGTTACACAGAGAAACCTGTCTCAAAACAACAACAACAACAACAACAACAACAACAACGTGCCCACCAAGCCACCCACATTCCATCTCTCTGCAACAATGGCTTTTCATGACCACAAAAGAACCATTAGTATGGGACACCGGACGCACACCTTTAACCCAAGCACATGGGAGGCAGGGGCAGGCGGGTCTCTATGAGTCTGAGTATAGCCTGGGCTACATAGTGAGTTCCAGGCCAGCCAAGGCTATTTAGTGAGACTCTATCTCAAAAATTAAAAACAAACAAAAAGGACCATAAGTACTGATTTAGAAGTCATGGATAAGTTTTAGTGAGTAGAAGAGCACACACACTCACACACACATGGCTTTTGTTCTAACCTCACATCTTTGGTGATGACACCTGAATTACCTTCCCTTCCACACTCTCAAACCACATGCTTCCGATGGAAACTGCCTCCCTCCAGCGGGAGGGACATGTGACAAGGCTTGTCAATCAGTATGGAGTTGAAAGGAACCAGTGAGGTATAAATCTAATATCTACACAGTCGTTCGAGGAGAAAGAGCTGTATCCCCAGGTTAAGGGGTAGCTCAGCAATAAGGAACTTACCCAAGTTTCTTAAGGCCCTGGATCTTACATCCTGCACCCTCCCTGCCCACAATAGAACAAACCAGCTACACCTGGTGACTCTCTCAACTGTAATCCCAGCCCTTTGGGAGTTAAGTCAGAAGGATTGCTATTTTGAGGCAGGGTTGGCTACATAGCAAACCTGAGGTTTTCCTGGGCTACCTGGGTTAACCTGGGTCTGAAGTTAACCTGAGTTATATATCAAGACCTTGTTTCAACAAAGCAAAACTCCATTCTCACGCATGAACACCTTTCAGAGATCAGAAACACTTCCTGGCTCTGCTCAACCAGGAATTTGGCAAAGCGCGGTCCCCAGCACTGCCCAGCTGCTCCCATCCCAGCATCCCCCCCCCCCCCCCCCCCCCCCCCCCCCCCCCCCCCCCCCCCCCCCCCCCCCCCCCCCCCCCCCCCCCCCCGCCACTCCCATCCCAGCATCCCCCCAGCCGCTCCTATCATACTGATGCTGACGAGCTGGATGTTGGTGTGGTCCGAACCGAGGTCATTGGTGGCCGTGCAAGTGAAGAGGGCATAGTCCTGGGCTGCGGACACGTTAGCAATGGTCAAGAGGCTGCTGTGGACAACACCCTGGTGGTACCTGTGCTCTGTGTACCTGAAGAGAGGGCTGCAGTTGGACTCAGAAAGGAAAACCAGGGCTGGATGACCAGAGCCGGGGCACGACCTGGCTATCCCCAGGTTCACCTGGGATCTTGGAGATCCAGAGGGACCCCGTTTTTGGTCCAAGTGAAGTCGATGTTGGGGACACCTCGGGCCCGACAGTGGAGGGTCGCTGAGCTGGTGCTGTCCCCAGCTGCAGCCACTTTCGTCAGGGGAGTTGGATGATCCACCTGAGGAGCGACTAGGACAATTGAAGGATCAATGTGGGAACTGTGGAAGGGTGAGAATGGCGGGCCACGGGCAGACCTTGAAGTTACCCACATCTGACAACCAGACGGACCAGCCCTCTTGCCACGGGTGCCACCCCATTGTCCACAATGCACTGGTAAGCACCAGCCTGTGACAGTTTGGCCTGGTGAATCCGCAGACGCCCAGTGGATCCCTTTGACACCATCTCCACGTCATCCAGGCTCAGATCTTCCTCCTCTTCCCCCTAGCATCCCAAGATACAGGAGCTCGTTCCCAGTCTGTCCTCAGAACAGCCTCCTGAAACTGTATCCCGTCTGTATCTTCATTCTCCCAGCTACAATCTCCTTCCGCAAAGTCAATGAGGTGATGATGTTTCTTGTCATCCACACAACCACTAATATAGTCCATCCACTCATCCACCAGTTCAGCCAATCATCCACCCGTACATTTGTCTAAACACTCATCATACTTGGAACCAACTGTAGACTTGGGATGCAGTTTAGTTGGGAAGCATTTGCTTGGCAATGCTCAAAGCACTGGGTTCAGTCTCAAGCAGTAAAAAATAAATTGACTGAAGCCGGGCAGTGGTGGCGCACGCCTTTAATCCCAGCACTCGGGAGGCAGAGGCAGGTGAATCTCTGTGAGTTCGAGGCCAGCCTGGTCTACAGGAGCTAGTTCCAGGACAGGAACCAAAAAGCTACGGAGAAACCCTGTCTCGAAAAATCCTAAATAAATAAATAAATAAATAAATAAATAAATAAATAAATTGGCTGAGCTGCATGTGGTGGTTTACTCGCTTTTGGGAGGAAGAGGCAAGAGAATCCCAAGTTCAGAGCCAAGTTTAGAGCCAAGTTCTAGGACAGCTTAGACTACATATCAAGACCCTCTCTCAAATATATATGTTCTAGAATCGTAGCACGGGCTTGTTGTCCTAGCACTGAAGGCTGGAGGCAGGAAGGTCAGGAGTAATTCAAGCCTGAGCCTCATAGCAAGCTTGAGGCCAACATGGGTTACAGCACCAGTGATTCCCAACCTGGGGGTCAAATGACCCTTTCACAGGGGTCGCACATCATCCTGCACACCAGATATTTACACTAAGATTCACAACAGCAGCAGAATTACAGTGTGAAGTAGCAACAACATGTTATGACTGGGGGGGGGGGTGTCACCACAACATGAGGAGCTGTACTAAAGGGTCGCAGCATTAGGAAGCTGAGAACCTCTGCATGAAACCCCGTCTCAAAAACAATGAGTCAGCTGGGCGGTGGTGGCGCACGCCTTTAATCCCAGGACTCGGAGGCAGAGGCAGGTGGATCTCTGTGAGTTCGAGGCCAGCCTGGTCTACAGGAGCTAGTTCCAGGACTGGAACCAAAAAGCTATGGAGAAACCCTGTCTCAAAAATCAAAAAACAAAACAAACAAACAAACAAACAAAAAAAAAACAATGAGTCTTCGAGATAGCTCGGGGGTAAAGACACCTCAGGCTGAACCTAACAATGTGAATTTGCTTCCTGCGAGCCAGTTATTAGAAGACCACTGATTTTCACAAGTGTCTTCTGACCTTCACACGTGTACTACAGCCCATATTCACTGCACACACACAATACAAAAATTTAAAACAGCAACAACAAAACGAGCAAATGGCAAAACAGAAAACAGAATCCGCCTGCCCACTCGTTTATCTCCATCCACTCACTCGCCTGTTCCACAAACCATGTGTTCTCTTCCTTTACAATTTTAAACATTCTTCTTCTTTTTTTTTTTTAATCCCCCTGAGACAGGGTTTCTCTGTAGCTTTAGAGCCTGTCCTGGAACTTGCTCTGTAGATCAGGCTGGCCTCCGAACTCACAGAGGTCCACCTGCCTCTGCCTCCTGAGTGCTGGGATTAAAGGCGTGCGCCACCGCCGCCCGGTGTAAACATTCTTTATTATTCATTGTGGGTATGTATGCACGATGCAAGAGTATGAGTACAACAGCACACAAGTGAGTTGCTGTTGAGAGTCAGTTTGCTCCGTCCACCATGGGCTCTGGAAATTGAACGCACGCCACTATGCTTGCACTGCCCACCTCATCTGCCCAGGTCAAGCTATCCACCCTGCAGCTCTCTGTACATTCGTGACATCTTCCCCTCCGCTGTGTGCACATCATAAGTATGTGCGCCTGCTTACTTGTATATACCCGCCTTCCCATTGATGTCAGTGCAGTCGGCATTCTTCCTGACCACCCCCCTCCACTCCCCTCCTTTCTAATCCTGAATCAGTCAAGCATGGAGTCACCCATCATCACCCTCCCACTTTTGGTTCATCTGTGCACACAGACACACAGACACACATACACATGCCATTCTCTCATTCACCTGACATTCACCAAAACCAGTTCTTTAAAGAGACCCTGACCGGCATAGTCACATACGGCTTCGCACGTGTGGCATCCCCTCCTAAGGCGCTCATAACCAAGAGGCTACACCGTCCTAGCTCCATGTCCAGTCGCCAAAGGCGAGGTACTTACCAGTCTCTCCCAGCTGAACATCTCTGGGAGCACGGGGTTGGCATCCACGGTACAGACTATGTCCACAGAACCCCCGACATTCACCTCGGTCGGGTCCCAGAGGGCACGGATGGTGGGAGCGTCTAGTGGGAGACAGGGACTTGGAGAAGGCACTTAGGCCCTGGCAGGTCCTGCTGAGGTGGGGGAGGACTCCGGGAGGAGTGGGTCTTAGAGGTGTCTGGAATGGTACGGAGGGGTACAGTTCTCAGAGTGATGAGGCTATCCTCACCCTAGTTGTGCCTTTGTGATTGAGTCTGGTGTGTGTGTGTGTGTGTGTGTGTGTGTGTGTGTGTGTAGGGGGTGGTGGTGTACCAGAACAGTGTTGGGATGGGGTTAGAGAGAACTTGGTTTCCTGGATGGAGGAACTCCCAAGTAAGTAGACCCCTCTCTCTATGCAGGTTCCACTTCGGGTCTCCCTAGCCTGCAAAGCAACAACTTTCCAAAGGGGAAGGCTCTAGGGTGGGTAGTTATCCCAGGTTGGGCGGGCCTTTCACAAGAAGGAGACTCCAGGTTGGGCAAGGTCCCCTGAGTGGGCGTGATTTTCACGTTAAGACCGGTTCCTGGAAACCCTGGGTTCCCAGGTTTCTGCGGGGGGGGGCTCACAATGCACGTCCAGCTTCAACAGCGCCTCGGCAGTGCCCTCAGAATTCTGGCAGTGTAGCTGATAGACGCCACCATCAGCTCGGGTCACATTCCACAGCTGTAGAGCTCCACCGGATAGGATGCGATGCCGGGGACCGCCAGCTGGGGAAGGCCAGCGTAAGGAGTGGAGCGTGGAAGGCCCGCCCATTCTCCCGAGTCAGCACCCTTCTCCAGGCCCACACCCCACCTGGGCTGAGGCGGTAGCCTCGGAAGGTCCAGTTGAAAGCCTCCGGCGCCGGGTTAGCAGACACCGACACAGGCAGTAGCGCCTGGCCCTGCTCCTCCACGGTCACTACCAGCACTTGCTCCCCCAGGAACTCTGGAGGGTCTTCAGAGGGGGCGCCCCAGGAAATCAAGAGTGTTGGTAAAGGGTTAAAGATAGGGTCGTGGCTAGGACTGAGGTAGCGGACAGGGTAACTGTTAGAGCTGAGATGCGAGACAGCTCTGGATAGAAGCCAAAACCTGGTGAGCCGGCTCAGCGGGGAACGGAGCTTGAGTTCAATACCCGGGAACCCCATGGTGGGAGGTGAGAACCAGCTAGCTTCCTTAACTTCCTCCACTTCTTCACTGTGGCACAGGCATGTGGGAACATATACACAACAATCAAATGTAATTATAAAAAAAAAATCCAAGCCGGATGAGGGGGTACATGCCTTCAATCTCAGCATTTGGGAGGCAGAGACAGGCGAATCTCGGTGAGTCCCAGGCCAGCCAGAGTTACACAGTGAGACCCCATCTCAAAAAACAAACAAGCAGGGGGCTGGAGAGATGGCTCAGAGGTTAAGAGCACTGGCTGCTCTTCCAGAGGTCCTTAGTTCAATTCCCAGCAACCACATGGTGGCTCACAACCATCTGTACTGAGATCTGGCGCCCTCCTCTGGCGTGCGGGCATACATCGAGGCAGAATGTTGTATACATAATAAATAGATAAATCTTTAAAAAACAAACAAACAAACAAACAAAAAAAACCCTGGATATCCTTAAAAAAAAACAAGCAAACAAAACCGACCTCTACCACAAAAAAAAAAAAAAAAAAAAAAAAAAAGCAAAAAATGTGCAGAACCAGACATGGTAGTTCAAGCCTGCAATCCCAACACTCCTGAGGCAGAGGTAGGAGGATTGCCGCGAGTTCATGGCCTTCCTATTCTACATATTGAGTTCCAGGTCAGCAAGGACTACATAATAAGAAATTTAAAAATTTTTAAATTGACAACTGAAGATCCAGTTTTGCAAAAAGAGCAGCTAGAATACAACTGAGGACGGAGAGCATGGATTGGAGCTCGGGCCAGCCTGAGGTAGGCATGAAGGTGGGGGAAGTTAGGACTCTGGGTAGAGGTAAAGGCTCCTTTAACTGGAGTCTGCAAGGGTGGGGCGGGAGGGGCGGTACCGGGCCTGCGCGCTTACACAGCACGTTGAGGCTGTAGAAGGAGCTCACGGTTTCACGAAGTGCAGCGCTGTGGGCTCGGCAGGTCACCCGGTGACCGTGGTCTCGGGATGACACCCGAAGGAAAACACTCCTGGATGCAGTGGAACCTTTGAACGGGGCGCTCTGGGGCGGGGCAGCCACGTCTTCCAACCTGTGCAAGGTTTGGAAGTCGGGTGAGGACCCGGAAGGGTCAGATGTGTGTTCAAGGCCCTTGGCCAATCGTTTAGGGCGCAGAGGGGAGAGGTTGGGAGGGGGAGACGATGGAACCCGGATGGGGTGGGGCCTCCTGTAAGCTCACCTCTCTCCCTCCTTGTCCCAAGACAAGTTAACTGGGGGATTGCTGCTAATGCTGACGCAGGTCAAGTTCAAGGCGTCACCTGGGCGCAGCGTCGAAGAGTTGGCCAGGATGGTCAGGTTGGTTGGAGGGACTTAATGGGTTAGAGATTCAGAGTTTGAGGAGCCTGGGTACAAGGCTGCGAGTCTATACCGCTCCCTCTGCACCCCCAACCAACCCCTGCCTGTGCGCTCACACTGCACCTCCAGCTGCCTGGAAGCACTGAGCTGACCCGCCTTGCATGAGAACTTGGCTCGATTGTCCGACGGTCCTATGACCAGCACCAGCTCGCGGGAGAAAGTGCTGCCAGACTTCTCCAGACTGCCCAACTGCACACGCCGGGGTTCCTGGGGCTGCCGAGGCTCGCTCACCGTGCGTGAGTCCTGAGGACCCAAAGAGCGTGGGTGGTTGCCAGCTCAGATAGGGCCGTTGTGTGATAAAGGCGCCTCCAAGAGCAAACACCCCATTACCTTAAAGGAGTGGGGACTGGAATTGAGCTTCCCCAGTCCTAGACTCTCCTGCCTGCCTTGATTGTTTGGGGACCCTGATCCCTATTGTGCACCCCTTCACCCCCCACACCTCCACCCTCGACCTCATCAGCCCACTCCCTGCTGCAGGCTCCACCCCTCCCCCCAACCTTACTGTGATATTTACAGAACGCTGTGTGCCAGGAAACTCCCTTGAAATTCCCAGACCCGGCGTAGGAGTCTTTCACTTTTCGTTGCCTCTGTTGTTTTTGCCTTGTTTTACATGAGACAGGATCCCTTGTAGTCAGGGATGACCTCGAAGAGAGCCCTCTAGGTAGTCGAGGGCGACTTTGTACTCCTGATCCTCCAGCCTTCACCTCTCAAAAGCTAGGACTACCAGTGAGCCACCTCGCCCTGCAGGTTGTTTGTTTTTTATTTTTTTTTTAAATTTCCACTCTTGGGCTGCAGAGATGGCCTTGCAGTTAAGAATGCTGACTGCTCTTCCAGAGGACCTGGGTTCAATTCCCAGCACCCACATGGCAGCTCACAGCTGTCTGTAACTCCAGTTCCTGGGAATCTGACACCCTCTTCTGTCCTCAAGCGTGCCAGGCACGAATGTGGTTTGCAGACAAACACGCAGGCAAAATATCCAAAAAAGTAATAAAACTTCAAAATTTCTAAAACTTTCCACTCTCCCCCTAAATTTCTCTGACCTTTTCCCTAATTTCCAATATTACTCCTTAGGTCCCCTGCCTCTGTCTCTCCTCGCTCTCTCCCTTCCCCTTCATTCTTTATTTTTTAATATTAATTTTAATATGAATGAATTTTCTTTAATATGAATGGCACTATAATTGCTTTATCTCTAGAATTTTCCATCTTAATCCAAAGTTCCTTCTTTTATCTTGGAATTGTTTTTCCGGATTTTCCAGAACTTCCCTGGGTTTCATTAATTCTTATGACATTTGTGTCTTTTCATAATCTCTAGCATTTCCCCTAGATTTTGGGTTTCTCCATGTGTTGAGGGGGTGGAGGAGACAAGGGGACAAAAATCTCAAAGCTAGGCAGGGTTGGTGGCACACACCTCTAATACAGGCAGAGACAGGCAGATCTCTGAGTTTGAGGCCAGTCTGGTCTACAGAGTGAGTTCTAAGCCAGCCACGACTGTATAACACAGCCCTGTCTTGAACAAAAAAAAACAAAATTCAAGGCTGGCCTGGACTACATATCTTGTCTTAGGAAAGAAAATGGATCTAAGATAGACTTAGTTAGTAACGTGTGTGTGCTTCCTCTTGCACACTTTCTCACACTTGCACACACACTTTCACATACATATGAACAGATACACGGGGGAAAGGAAGCCAGGAAGGGAGGAAGGAAGGGAGGGACTCTTGCTTGGCACCTACCTTATACCAGGTGAGGGAGGGTTCTGGATTGCCTCCGATGGCCAAACACACCAGCCTTACCCGAGTCCCAGTACGAATGTACTGCCCCTCTTGGGGTCCTTCAATCCACAGCTTCTGGGCAGGGTCTAGTGAGAGACAGGGAAAGAGAAGACATTTTTGTCTGAATTGGAGCCTCAGGGTGAGGGTTCTCTGGGCTCTAGGCTAGAGCTCACATTTTACATTCAAGGTGAGTGATTTCTTGAAGGTCTCCTTGCTGAAGGCATCACTGAAGGCCTCACAGGTGAGGGACAAGCCATTGTCTTCCCTCCGCACCAAGAGTGTCAGATTGGACATGGAGATGTGGCCACCATGCAGGCCCTAGCAGGAGGAAACTTCAGATTTGGGGACTGCAAAGCCCCCAGCCATGGTAACAGAGGCTTGAGTCCACCAGACCCCAGCAGGGGCACATGAGGCAATCCCACCCTCTTCTTTCAGACCCAGGAGTTGGACCCTCAGTCTGGGCTCCTCAGGGTCCAGGGCCTCAAGGGATTACCAAACCATCGTCTCCCACGGCCTCACATCCATGACTGTCTCATCCGTGGGCAGCAGCTGCCGTCCACCCAGCCACCATCGCAGCAGGACCCGGGGGCGACTGGACTTCGTAAGGCAGCAAAGGGTCACGTTCTTGTTCTCAGATTGGGATGCAGATCCCAGGATGGTGATGGCACTGGGGGGAACTGAACGACAGATGCATCAACATAAGACCGGGGTCCAGGCTGGAGTCTTCACAGACCAGCTCAGGCAGATGGGGGCAGGGGACTGACAGACGTGAAGGCACAGAGGTCGCTCTGGTTATGGGCTGAGGCAGAGAGCTGGACTCACAGGTGACCTGCAGTGTGATGCTTCGCTCCTGGGTCCCTGTAGACACGCTGTTGTAGGACAGACAGCTGAGCTGGGCTCCATGGTCTTCAGGTCGCACAGCCATCACTAACACACTGCGGGCCACAGCCTGAGCATGCTCTGTGCCCCAAGCTATGGACACTGGTTTACCATTCTGGACACAGAAGTCAATCTAGTTATCTCAGCACTAACTCCTGGTCCCTGTCCCCCCACCACCCCATGTCAGCCTCCACCCTCACCTTCAGCCACTGCAGGGTAGCAGGTGGATTTCCACCTCGGGCCATGCAGGGCAGCTCCAGGTTCTGCCCTGCCCGTACATGCCCCTCATCCAAGCCTGGCCAGTCAATGACAGGAGGTCCTGGGGGGACTGGGGATCAGGGACCACTCAGTGGGCCTGGGAGGCCCATCTATTCTCTCTGGGCCCCATAGCCTTCTTTCAGTTTCCTCCCGTGGGTGAGGGAGATGACTCAGGAGAACCTGACTTCCATTCCTGGAACCTACATGGCAGAAGAGGACTAACTCCTGAGAGATGTTCTCTGACTTCTCCACTTGGCATGCCCATGCATGCACATGCGCACAGAGACACAATAACCACCACCACAACCACCACCACCATAATAATAAAATAATATAATAAAAATAAAAATCTTAAATTTCTCTCGAATGCCTGCTTTTTGTTTTCAGTGCGGAGTCTGAAATCTGGGTCATTGCACATCTGGGGCTCGGTTCTCCCAATGAGCTGCAATGCCCAGCCCTCAACAACCCAGGCTAGCCTTACCTTCTTTCTGCTTCCTCCCCTCCAAGGCTGGGATTATAGGCACACTGCAACAGCATGGCTGGTGATAATGCCTGAAACTTCTGCCATTCTTGAATCCCCCGTGCTCCCAAATCCCGCTGGGATGTCCATCCTCCATGCCCACAACTATCCCTACCCTCACTTACACAGAATATTCATGGTGAAGGAAGCCTTGATGGGAATGTCCAAAGCTGGGCTGGAACCCTCACAGAATAGTAACTGCCCATTATCTGAGCTCTGGGGTGTCACCCTGGCTTGGAAAAATAGAGATTTCTGCAGTCAGTCATCACCTGAAATTTAAGGAGCCAGGATAAAGAGGAGAGCATCCCAAACTCCCACACTTGGCCAAGTCTCCATACTGATTTATTCTAAGTGCTGGACTCCCCTGGGAGAGATTTGGAGGGTCAACAATGAGAATAGGGGCGCCCAAGGTCTTCACCCGAACTAAATATTTTTACTCAACACCTACAAACTGGGGTTACCATCAAGAAGCTTTGAGAGTCAGGGTGAAGAGTAAGGTCCCAGGTATTTCCACAACTCAAGTTTCCAAACTTGCATCATTAGGTTCTGTAACTCATGTGGGAAAACCTGGAGATCGGGGGGGGGGGGACAGAGAGAAAACCCCAGCTTGCACACCTGGCTTCAGCTTCTGCAATGAAGAGCTTCTCCTCGGATCCATCGTTCACATTATAGGAGACGTCCAGGACCGTGTGTCCACCTTGGGGCAACAGAAAGCTGGCTAGAGAGATACTGGGCTTTCTCCATGCCCTGGAAGTCCTCAGGATGGACATAGCTCTCCCTTAATATTGGTTCTGGAGGACAAGAAGCTGGGGTGCCTGTTCTGTCCTCCCACACACTCAGGATCCCCTGAACTCTGCGGTTCTTAGGACTGCATCAGGGTCCTTTCTCTCTCCTCACCCTGTCCCACCAGGGGTTTCTTATTCCTGCATAGCCATTGGCACCCCTAGCTTACCTGTGTGCTCACACCTTCTCCCTACCCCAGATCAGCCTTGCATTCTCCTGGAAAGCGTTCCTTTCTCATCCGTGTTGGCCTCGTTTCCTGGGGTGGTACTCAGGGGTGACATATTTTGGGGGACCCTAGGCAGGAACACCCCCTTCCCATTTCAGCGGCATTGTGCTGTCCCACACTCACCCTGGATGAAGGTGATGTGCGGGGCTGGTTTGGCATCTCCAGACACACAAGTGACCACATACTCCTGCCCAGCCACCCAGGTAACTGTGCTTCCTGCCTCGGGGGTCAGCTGGAGCACCTTAGGGGGAACTAGCGAGAAAGGGCATGGGGTTAGCCACTACTGAGAGGTGAATAAGACAGTTTGGGCCAAGAGTTTAAGAAATGAGACTACCCAGGGCCCAAAGTGGAGGGGCTTGGGAGCTTGGAACTCTGGGTCCGTGGAAAGAAGAGGGCTGGAGCCCAAGTTGGTGGGTCCCGGAGGGGAGTCTCTCACCCATACCTAGGATGGAGAGGATTACTTTGGGAGACACGAGCTCAGGACCCATCTCTGAGCGGCTGACTTGGCATTCATACTCCGCATCGTCACTGAGGTCACAGGTTTCGATACGCAGGTGGAATTCACCTGGAGATGGAGCGCTTGTGGTCAGGGCCCCAGTTTCTGCTAGCGGCTCAAGATCTCAGGCTCTGGTCTCTCACCTTTAGCAGGATCTCCTTCCAGGCTGTACCTCGGGAAGCCTGGGATCCCGGGGTTTGGACCCAGAAGTAACCCATCCTTAGCCCACTGCACCACACTGCCAGGGGCTCTGACCCCACACCTCAGTTTAACTGTGGCCCCTTCCACTGCCGTCAGGTTTTCAGACAGAGTCCAAAAGCCTCGAGAAACCGAGGTGGGGATTGGTGACTGGACCAGGCCTGGAGACACAAGGGGATTGATAATAAGAGACAGAGGTGGCACTTGAGGGCCTGTGGGCTACAAGTCCAGCCTTTCTACTCACCTGTGGTCAGCATTCCCATGAGCAGCAAGGGAGTCAAGCTGGAAGTCCTGTGTATTGTGGTCACCCCAGGACCTCTGAGGGCAACTTCCCTGGTGCCCATCACCAGCCACATGGTTTGATGTCTTGTCTGAGCCTCTCTCTCTCTCTCTCTCTCTCTCTCTCTCTCTCTCTTGACTCTCCTCTCTGTGTCTGACTGTCCTAGTCTTTCTTTCTGTCTCCTTTCTGCCCTTAGCTAGCCCTGCCAAAGGTTCTTTCTCTGAGTTCCAACCCCAAGCACTCAAAAATGCATGCTTTCTCTTTTTCTCCCCGACAGCCTCTGTTTCTCTTTATCTATGACTATCTCCCGCTCACCCACTCACCCACTACCGCTGGGGGTGGGGGTGGGGGTTCAGCAAGCTCACGAACCCAGAAAGCCAACGCAGTCAGTCACAGCGTGGAGCCATTTCTTGGACCCAGTGTGAGCACATCCCGCTGCTTCCTTCCCCTCAAGTCCTTCCTGAGTCTGCCCAGCAGAGCAGTGAAATCCCCCGTCAGCACATGCCACGAATATTCTTTGGTGACTCCCCAGCCCCAGTGACCCCAAGGCCCTGCCTGGGAGAGCAGGTCTGACCAGGGCTATCTCCCAGCTTGAGTTGGCAGACAGATCTGGGCCTGTGTGGGTGGGTAGGACACCCCCCCACCCAGACCCCCACCACTGCCACAGCTGTTCCGGACCGTCACAAGTTCCTTCTTTTTCTTGGTGGCATCATACACTTCTGCTGGCGAACGCACAGGAGTGTGTTTGAAACGGTGAAACTGTGGGAGAGAGGGAAGCTAACTGTGTGTGGGTGTGAGAGCGTGGGTATTCCAGGAGAAGTGAGAGTGGATTCCATCTGTGAACAGTTTTGGAATGTCTGGTACTGGGACGGCAAGTAGGACCAGGTCCACAGACCCCAGTGTGTGTAAACCTGGTGAGCTCAGATACAGTTAGACACAGAGTGGGGGTCTCTGGGAGCTGGAACATCTGAGTCCTGAGACTGTGTGAGAGTCCTTCGGTTCTCAACTTCCCCTTTCTCTCTCCGTGTGTCTCTCTCCAGCCAGGGTGATTTGTCTTCTCCATCTCTTTGATTCTTTCTCCCCTCCGCCTCCTCCTTTCTCCCCCTCCCCTTCTTATTTCTGTCACTCTTACTGCCATCCCCCACTGTCACTCAGTAACAGGAACTCAGTATATTCTGCTCCTCAGTCAGCCCGTCTCTGGGCCTTTCCCATGCAGTTCCCTGCTCTAGACCTGATTCTGACCCTGGAAGTTTTGAACCATATGTTGGCTGGCCTGCCTTCCAAAACCGGGTGCACAGCTGCATTTGCCTAGGATAAGCCCGTTCTGCCTGCTTATCTCCTGCAGGAATTGCAACTGTTCCCACCCCCACTCGCCCTACAAACCTCCCGCCCAGCTGCTGCTCTTCCTCCAGGGGGCAGTCCAGGCATCTGGCCCGAGACCCCCTCAGCTCTCTACCAAGGCTGAGCCCTCCGGTCTTTCTCTCCCCCCACCCCCATTATTGATTCATTACCCTCCTTCCACACTCCCTTCTCTAACCCCCTTAAGACCTCCTGGGAAACGGATTGCTTGTAGACCTAACGCATGGAGGCTCTGCCGTGGGGGCCTTTACCAGATGGTACCGTCGGAGGCCAAGGTGTAGGGCTGTCAGTTGCTGGAACCTTTAATTAGTGCAAACCTACACTCTAACTTGGCTGTTTTCCTTCTCCGAATGCCCTGGGGACTCCAGGCTCTCCATTTTTCCATGCTGGTGGCCCCAGGGTGCCAGGAAGGGAAGCTATGTCAAGTGTCTGGAAAAACACCTCATCACCTGACTTCCTTCCCAAGACTCAGGAGTACTGGGCTCAAGCCTGTCCTATTTCAAAACAGAGAATCTGAAGCCGGGAGTTCAGATGCTCCAGAGCTCAGCGCACGACCTCCCAGGACCTTCTTTTCCAGCCTCCTGTCTCCCCCCACTCCCTCTTATACGATCAGCACAGCTGTTAGTTTTCCAGTCCTCCTGGGCCGGTGGGGGTGAGTGAGATTGGTTGGTAAATCCAGTAGCTCTAAGATTTAAGACCAGATATTCCGAACCTGGCCCAACTGCTCCATACTACAGGCTGCAAGGTCCGCCAGCTTCTCAGCCCGCAGAGATCTGAACCACGCCCTCCCTGGAAATCCAACCCTCTGAGCCCAGAATGTCGCTTAATTCGGATAGCTCCAGGAATGTCAGACCCGGGGTCCCAGCCCCCCTCTCCCAGCTCCTTCAGTAGGCTCAGGGTCCCTCCCACCTGCCCTGCCAGCTGCGCAGCGTGGGAACGCCCCAGCTGGGCTGCACGGGAGCTGTCAGGACAAGCTGTGCGGTTCCCAGCCTCCCTGCCTGCCAGAGCCAGGGAGCCGCTGCCTCCTAGCCGTCGCCTGGCAACCACTCGGAGGGGCCCGGGACAGCTAGGCGGAGAGAGGGGATGGTTGGGTACTGCCGAGTTCTGGGAAAGAAGGAACTCGGGGCGGGAAGGGGAGGGCGGGGGCTGGATTCCTACAACTTAGGGTGTGTTAGGCCTTTCAGAGATAACAAGGCAGCAGGGATGTGTTTGGGGAAGTGGGGGGCTGAATCCTTCTTTTCTCATGACTCCCAAATAGTCCTTCAGGACCTGTGTGCCCTCTCCCCGACCCGCAGGCCCACGGGAGCCTGGGCCCCGCCTCCCCAGGGCGCGAAAACTGGTGAAGTCTCAGGGGTTCCCATTTATAGCTCCGTTTCCACTCAGCTCAGTCCCTCCTGGGTCCGTGCTGAGCAAGTTTCTTCCACTATCTTCTTTCCTCCTCCTCAGGCGCGCCTCCCCTTCAACCTCAGCAGGGCGCAGATGTCCAACACGAGCAGAGCCCCCTCCTTGGACCCAGGTGTTACAGCTCTCAGACCCCCTGATAACGCAGGGGTGCCCTCCTGCTGCGCGAACCGGGACCCGGAGCGCCCATAGTCTTGGCACGCACGCCGCCCGAGTTTCTCAATGGGAAGAGGGCGGGTAACCAGGGGGCGGGGCGAGTAGGATCCCGCCCTCCCGCGGGTCTCTCGCACACCCAGGGTGTGCAACCCGCGAGCGGTACAGAGCATCGGAGGCTGCGGATCAGCCAGATTTCGGGGACTCCAGGCCAGACGTAGAATCCTCCAGACTGGAGTGGGGGCGGGGGGAACTGGGGTACAGAGAGGGGTTCCAGTCCAGCGTGGTGAGAGGCGTGCTGTCGAGGAAGAAGTTGGAGAGAAATCAGTGCAACCCAAAGTCTACGGGATCTTGGGGTGCACGCACAAACACACACGGGATGCTGGGCCCCGCCCTCCTCGTCCTCCTCTGCAGCTTCAGAGGACTTGCAGGTACCCCCGAAGGGCGCAAAGAGGGTTATTTGTCCGTTCCCGCCTTGTTTGGGAAAAATAGACTAAGGACTCCTAGTCCTGGGTGAGAGAGAGAATTCTGGAGGCTAGAGCTTCTAATCGGAGGAAGGAGGGCTTTGAACTGGACCTCCCGGGCCTTGCATAAGGGAATTCTTGACTTAATCTCAGCTCTTCTGTCCCTCTTCTCCTAGGCCCATTGCCCCATTTTCTGCAACAGCCAGAGGACATGGTGGTGCTGCTGGGGGCTGAAGCCCGGCTGCCCTGCGCTCTGGGAGCATACCGGGGGCTCGTTCAGTGGACTAAGGATGGGTTGGCTCTAGGGGGCGAAAGAGACCTTCCAGGTGAGTCTGGGCTGCATCTGACGCTTTCAACTTTCGAGACTGGTGGGCTCCCAGTGAATATTTGGGAATCCCAAGTTTTAAAACGATTGTTTTTGGGGACGGGGATGTAATTCCTTGTGTTTGGAGACTTATTTTTATTCTAAAGCATCATATAAAAGCATAAACAGTTTGCCAATAATTACAGTCATATAGTTATTGCGCAGGCTATTGCGAGCTTCTCAGAAGCCCTGGCCCTTTAACGTTCCTCTACGGTGGGCAAAAGGTAGTGTTTTATCTAATTTTTTTTGGCTATTTGTTTTGTTTTGTTTTGTTTTGTTTTGATGTTTGAGTTGGGGTCTCCCTTTGCAGCCTAGGCTTGCCTCAAATTCGAAATCCTCCTGCCTCAGTCTTGAGTGCTGAAATTACAAGCATGCACCACCCACATCTGGCTTAACCTAACTTTGATGGGAATTGTTTTCCTGTATTCCTTTCTGACTTCTTTTTTTAAAGATTTATTTATTTATTTATACATACGTACATACATACAGTATCCTGCCTGCAGGCCAGAAGAGGGCACCAAATCTCTTTACAGGTGGTTGTGGGCCACCATGTGGTGGCTGGGAATTAAACTCAGGACCTCTGGAAGAGCAGTCAGTGCTCTTAACTGCTGAGCCATCTCTCCAGCCCTTCCTGACTTTTTAACTCACAAATTTGTGGTGACTATAAATTGACAGGAGGTTTAGAATCTCTCTGAACCCAGCACTTTCTCTCTCTCTCTCTCTCTCTCTCTCTCTCTCTCTTTTCTTTTCTTTTTTTTTTTTCCTTTGACAATGTCTCACTGTGTAGTCCTGGCCAGCCTGATTTCCTATATAGATCAGAATAGCCTCAAACTCAGAGAGGTGTGCCTGCCCATGCTTGAATTTAAAGGTGTGCTCCACCACACCTGGCCCCAGCACATGTTTGTTTGGTTGGCTGGTTTTGGGGTTTTCAAGACAGGGTTTCTCTGTGGCTTTGGAACTTGTCCTGGAACCAGCTCTTGTAGACCAGGCTGGCCTCGAACTCACAGAGATCCGGCTGCCTCTGCCTCCCTAGTCCTAATGTAAAAGGTGTGCGCCACCACTGCCCGGCCTCAGCATGCATGTTTTGATAGTGTTTTAGCATCAAATGTGTGGCTCTTATTTGCTCCCTGGAGTGGGATTCTTGGAGATAAAGACTTGAGACCAGGAGTTCAGAATTTTTTATGGTCTCTCTGTCTTCAGGGTGGTCCCGGTACTGGATATCAGGGAATGCAGCCAGTGGCCAGCATGACCTCCACATTAAACCTGTGGAACTGGAAGACGAAGCATCATATGAGTGTCAGGCTTCACAAGCAGGCCTCCGATCACGACCTGCCCAACTGCGTGTGATGGGTGAGGATGGGTGAGGACCCAGTCCATTTGGGCTTTGGGAGCTAGAGGTGGGGAGTGGGGCAGTTAGGACTGCTCCTGAGTGGTAGAATCTAAGAACCCTGGGGGACTGGTAGGTGGAGCTGAGAGGATCAGAGGCTCTGCTTCCAGGATGCAATTCTGACTCCAGTTCTGCCATGCAGTCCCCCCAGAAGCCCCCCAGATACTAGGCGGCCCTTCTGTGTCTCTGGTTGCTGGAGTTCCTGGGAATCTGACCTGTCGGAGTCGAGGGGATGCGCAACCTGCCCCTGAACTGCTGTGGTTCCGAGATGGGGTCCGGCTGGATGGAGCCACCTTCCACCAGGTTGGGTTTAAATCTTTTTGCCATTTTTTGTTCATTCAGCGAGACTTGGGGTCCACCTTGATCTCAGGCTCATCTAGAGGGAATGGCAGGCATTCAGGGTTGAACTATGATTCAGATCAAGAGCGAGGCTTCCTGGTTCAGTCCGTTGCTAATTACTTCCTCCTGTATATGGCGTTTAACCTCTCTCTGTCCCTCGTTTTCTTTATCTATACAGGGGGAAAAATAGTAGGGTTATTTCATAGGGTAATATAGAGAATTAAACATGTGAATGTCTAAAAATATCCAATACATTGTAAACACTACCTATGTAAGCTATAGATAAAATCATTGTTAGTATGGGGTGTGGTACACACCTATAACCCCAGCACTCAGGAGACTGAAGCAGGAGGGTCATGAGTTCAAAGCCAGCCTTGGCTTCAGCGTGAGACCCTGTCCTAAAAAGAAAAAAAAGTGTCATCTATCTATCACCTCCAGACCACGCTGAAGGACAAGACCACTGGGGCAGTGGAAAACACCTTATTCCTGACCCCTTCCAGTCACGATGATGGAGCCACCTTGATCTGCAGAGCCCGGAGCCAGGTCCTGCCCACGGGGAAGGACACAGCGGTGACATTAATCCTGCAGTGTGAGTGCCCTTGGTCCTGGAAAGACCAGGGTGGGCCTGGACTCCTGGTCTGACACAACCGGAGGGGGATTGGGCGGGGACTGAAAGCCCAGCTCTCCTGCCTTACCCTCACAGATCCCCCCGTGGTGACTCTGTCTGCTGAGCCCCAGACTGTGCAGGAGGGAGAGAAGGCGACTTTCCTGTGTCAAGCCACTGCCCACCCTCCTGTCACCGGCTACAGGTGACCAGAAACGCCCCTTGTCTCTAGCAAAGTTCCGGGAGCTTGAGGAAGGGTAGGGCGACATTAATATCGCCACTGTCTCCGCAGTTGGGCGAAAGGGGGATCCCCGGTGCTCGGGGCACGTGGGCCAAGGTTGGAGGTCGTAGCAGACGCTACGTTCCTGACTGAGCCAGTGTCCTGCGAAGTCAGCAACGCGGTGGGAAGCGCCAACCGAAGCACCGCGCTGGAAGTGCTGTGTGAGCAGGGGCGGGGCCGTGGGTGTGGTCGAGGTGGGAGTGGCTGCCTGGAAGGCGGGGCTAGAGCAGGTAGTTGGGAGAGGTTTGGCTGGGTCAGATGAACCTGGGGGGGGGGGAAGGGTGGGGTTTGTGGTAGCGGACTCTAAGTGGCGGGTGTTGCCTGGATACCCACACTTGTACCTAGCAGCTGGTCCTGTGTCAGGGGCTCATTCTAACCCATTCCTCTCTCTCCTGCAGATGGACCTATTCTGCCGGCAAAACCGAAGCCTGTGTCCGTGGACGTGGGGAAAGACGCCTCCTTCAGCTGTGCCTGGCGAGGGAACCCACTTCCACGGATTACCTGGACGCGCCTCGGTAGCTCTCAGGTGAAGTTCGATCTGGGGCCTGGGACGTTAGTTAGCTGGAAGTGGTCCGGGCTGCCTCCCCGAGTGTTGTCTCTGATACCCCTTCCTTGTGCCAGGTGCTGAGCTCGGGGCCCACGTTGCGTCTTCCATCCGTGGCGTTGGAGGATGCGGGTGACTATGTGTGTAGGGCTGAGCCTCGGCGCTCGGGTTTAGGAGGCGGCACGGCGCAGGCGAGGTTGACGGTGAACGGTGAGAGACCCCGAGGGTCTTGGGGTAGGGGGTGGACCGAGAGGGCGTGTCCCTGGAAAGGAAGTTATAGGCTGAGAAGTAGAGCGGGACCTGTTGAAGGAGAGAGACTCTACAGACTGTTATGGCCTGGTTTCTCAGTGGTGAAACCACAGTGACCACGTCTGACCTTGCCTCATTCAGAACTGGTTTTGGAGAGGTGGAGACCTCTGCTTCATGGTCTATGGTTTCCATTCCAGCTCCCCCGGTAGTGAAGGCCCTGATTCCTGCGCCTGCCTTCCTGAGGGGCCCTGCTCGACTCCAGTGTGTGGTGTTTGCTTCCCCTGCCCCGGACTCCGTGGTAAGGAAAGGAACCCTCACCCCTCTGACACATCAGTCGTGATCCCTGTCCCCCACGCCTGACACTGACATCTCCCACATCCTACCAGCCCCTCTCTGCTTCCTCGGGCTCCGAGTTGATACCCTTTTCTTTTGTTTTCTAGGTTTGGTCTTGGGACGAGGGCTTCCTGGAGGCAGGTTCGCTAGGCAGATTCCTGGTGGAGACCTTCTCAGCCCCTGAAGAGGAGGGAGGACAGGGCCCAGGCCTTATTTCTGTGTTACACATTTCCGGGACCCAGGAATCTGACTTTACCAGGGGCTTTAACTGCAGTGCCAGGAACCGGCTGGGTGAGGGACGAACCCAGGTCCACCTGGGTCGTAGAGGTGAGTTACTGACCCAAAGACCCTGAAACCTGGGGATTCCAAACCCCACAAACACAGCGATTCCCAAGATTGAAGCCACCGAACTATAAGGTCCCCAAATGCAAAGACTCCCCAAATCTCAGCACTATGGCAGTGAGATGGCTCACCAGGTAAAGGCACTTGCCACCAGGCCTGATGACCCCAGTTCAGCCCTCAGAACCCACATGGTGGGAGAGGACCAATACCCAAAAGTTGTTCTCTGACCTCTGTTCCCACACTATAATATACACTCCCACACACATATAAATACATACAATAGCATTTGAAATGTAATAAAAATAAGTGGGGGTTGGAGAGGTGGCTCAGCAGTTAAGAGCACTGGTTGTTCTTCCAAAGGACCTGGGTTCAATTCCTAGCACCCACATGGAGGCTCAGAGCTGTCTGTAACTCCAGTTCCAGGAGACCTGGCACCCTCCCACCAATGCATATAAAATATTTTTTTTTTAAAAAAAATGATAAGTTTTTTCTAAAAAAGTATGACTCTCTTGAATCACAGGACCCCAAATCAATAATTCTCTCAAATACAGAGCCCTAAGTGGGAAGGCCATTCCCTACCTGGATGCCACAAACCTGGGAGGTTGAAACAGAAGACTTTCAAGTTCTGAGCAGCCCTAAAGTTAGGGTGTTTGTTTGTTTATGGGGGCACACTCCCGTCACAGTGCACATGTGGAAGCCAGAGGACAACTTTGTAGGACTCCGTTCTCTTTCCATTTTGTGGGTCCCCAGGATTGAACTCAGGCCCTGGTAGTAAGCACCGTTTTCCACTGGACTATCTTGCCAGTCCTGTTTGTTTATTATTGGTGTTTTGGTTTTGGAGACAGAGTCTCTGATAGCCCATGCTGAACTTACGGGCTGGGGTTACAGGTGCGGCTCGCCCAGGGAATTTAAACTCTCAAACTGTGAATCCCCAGGCCCGGAGAGATGGCTCAGAGGTTAAGAGCACTGCTCTTCCAGAGGTCCTGAGTTCAATTCCCAGCAACCGCATGATGGCTCACAGCCATATATAATGAGATCTGGTGCCCTCTTCTGGTGTAGAAGCATACATGCAGACAGAATACTGTATACACAATAAATAAATAAATCTAAAAAAAAAAAAACCCTCAAAAACATATGAATGCCCAAATGTCCTCAGACAACCAAATATAGCACACTGTAAATCTTGGGAAATCCCAAACCTGGCAGCCTTTTGAACCATGGAACCCAAGCCCTGAGCCCATTTCCCGGTTACTCCGTCTTCAGACCAGCCTTCTCAGGAGACCCCATATGCTCTACAGACTTGCTGCCCACTGTACGGATTGTGGCTGGAGCAGTCTCTGCAGCCACCGCTCTCTTTATGGTCATCACTGGAGTGATTCTCTGCTGCTGGCGTCATGGCAAGTATCAGCCTTGGGACCAGGCTCCATTCCGGGCCGCTAAGTTCCCTCCCTAGCCCTGACTCGGTTTCCTCAGGGTCTTCCCATCTCCTTTCCGTCACCTCCTGGCCATGGTTCTCCTTGGTTTCCAGCCTTCCTAGCCCATTTTACCCAGTCAGTTCTGTTCCCAAGTCTTGGTCATCACAAAATATGACCTTGCTTGTGGCTCACCTCTCACCTTCCTGGGCCTCAGGCTCTTTCTCTAAGCAAAAGAACTTGGTCCGGATCCCAGGAAGCAGTGATGGCTCCAGTTCACGCGGCCCTGAGGAGGAGGCAGGTGGCAGTGAGGAACGGGTAAGATACAAGTTTCCCTAGATCTGTACTTCCAGACCGAGATAATAACCTAGTCTAACCCACCCTCAAACTCAAGTATGAGCCTAGACTTTTTGTTATTGTTTGAGACAAGGTTTCTCTATGTAGCCCTGGCTGTCCTACAACTTGCAGAGTAGACGAGGTTGACGTTTTAGAACAAGCAAGGTCTGGATGAGTTGGGGAGAGGAGGAGGAGGCAAAGAGGGAGGGTGGGGTCAGGTCGAGAGACAAGCATGATCAAGCACGGACAAGAGGCCCTAACTGGGGCTAGGACTGTGGCAGGTGGTGGACTGCTTGGCTAGCATGCTCAAGGCCCCCCAGGAGCTCGATTTCGAGCTCTACATAATCTCCAAATCGGAGCTCCTCCAGTCTGCCTCCTGAATGCTGAGATTAAAAGTGTGTGCCATTATCCCAGCTTGGTCCCAGTCTTAAACATGATGACCCTGGACCCACAGGATCCTCACAAATGCAAATACTCACTATGTCCCTATAGCCTTCTTTACTGTCTTAAGTCCAGCCTCCAGGCCTCTCCTTCAGCCTGACCTCCAAAGGAAGGCCCTTGGGATCTGGCAGCAGGATAGGGTGATCTTCTGAACACTGCCTCTCATTTTTCCCCTCCCTCAGGGTCCCATTGTGCACCCCGACCAGGGTGACTTGATTCTTGATGAGAAGGAGGCCCTGGAGGCAGCGGTGAGTACTGGGGAGGAACCGACTATTGGTCACTCAGTCTCCACCTCTCCCCAATTGCGTGCTTAAAAAAAGCTTTCTGGAGACAGGTGCCACACTGTAGCTGGCTTTGCACTCCCAGCAGGCTTTCTCCTGCAGCTTCTGGATGCTGGGGTTACAAACTAGAACTTCAGATCTGGGCACCACACTTGGCTGTTTCCCTGCTTCAGTCTCCTTCTTTGGTTTCTGTCACCTTAAGACCTTTGTTTCCAAGGTGGTGATGCACGCCTTTAATCCCAGCACTCAGGAGGCAGAGGCTCTGAGTTGAGGGCAGCCTGGTCTACAGAGCGAGTTCCAGGACAGCCAGGGCTACACGGAACCCTGTCTAGAAAAGAAAAAAGAAACAAAAAAGCTACAAAAAAAATCTACTTTTAGCTTCTCCTGGGACAGGTCACCACTCACACTCTCTGCAGCCTCTTCTTATCTTATTTATCATTTCACTTTGGTCTCCAGGCCTTCTTTCCCCATCAGCCACGTTTCCTGCCTCTAGGTGTCTTTTTGGCTGTTCTCTACCAGCCAGGAGCCTTACTCCCACTAGGTTCCACCCAAACATCACATTTCCCAAAGATGGTCCTGCTTTGAAATCCTACCTTAGGTTAGATGCATCGGTTCCAACCCTGGTTCCCATTCTAAAGCCCCGCTCCCTGACTTTTCTTTGAGGAAGACCCTTGTATATCTCAGCTAGCCTCAAACTGAGTCTGTAGCCAAGAATGATCTTGAGCTCCTGATTATCCTCCCGAGTGCTGTGATTAAAACATGTGCCACCACATTGAGTTTATGTAGAGCTGGGAATCGAACTGATGGCCTTGAGCATGCTAGCCAAGCACTCTACTGACTGAACTACATCCCTAACCCAGCTAAAGCCTCTTGTCTATACTTGATCATGCTTTTCTCTTGACCTGAAGCCCACCTTCCCACATTCCCTCCCTCCCTCCCTCCCTCTCCCCAACTTTAGTCAGACCTTGCTTGTTCTAGGAAGCCAGCACTTCCCCTATCTCTGCCATCTATGTGCCTAGCTCTCTCTGCCTCTGCTGTTTCTCCTTTCTGCTATCACACCTCTCTCTAGGTCTGGCTGTAGGTCAGTGTGTCTCTCCACCCACGATCCCTGCCTTCCTGTACCCTCACGTTCCTTACCAAGTCTCAACTGCTCCCCAGGATCCAACCAACGGTTACTACAAGGTTCGAGGAGTCAGTGTGAGCCTTAGCCTTGGGGAAGCCCCCGGAGGAGGCCTCTTCTTGCCACCCCCCTCTCCAATTGGATTTCCAGGAGCTCCTACTTACTATGACTTCAAGCCACACCTGGACTTAGTGCCCCCCTGCAGACTGTACAGAGCGCGGGCCGGCTATCTCACCACACCCCATCCCCGTGCTTTCACAAGCTATCTGAACCCCACATCCTTTGGACCCCCAGATTTAAGCTCTGGGACTCCCCCTTTCCCCTACGCTACCTTGTCTCCACCCAGCCACCAGCGTCTCCAGACTCACGTGTGAAGAAGTCTCTGATCGAAGAGTCTCAAGAGCGTCAACTTGCCGTCATGTGCTGTCTAGCGTTCTGAGGAATCAAAACAAGTTGATGACCTACTCCTCCAAAACTGAACACCAGAGGAGGGAAACAACCGCCAGGATTGTTGACGTGTGGTTGGCTCAGCCAAAGGGGATGCTCCAAGAGGGAGCAATACGACCACTATACCCACTTACTCTCCTGTGAGAAAGACATTCAAGTTTTAATGAAAGACAGTCAAATTCTTTGCAGAAGGACAAAGACAGGAGGTGATGGGAGTCAGGGCCATGGATGGGAGGCTTTTCTAACTAGCAGATAAGATATCTGCACCAAAAATATGATAGCAAAAGACAAATCAAGATGAATGAAATAACCCCCCCACCAATTCCTGGCTTTCCCAGGAAAGGGAACTTTGGCCAATAAAAGTATAGCCAATATGGCCGTTGATTCTATGAGAACTCAAAATGACCACTATCTTGATTCCTTCCTTAAAACCATGAAAGAACTGAATCCAAGGACTGGGGATGGCGTGAGAATAAAAGCAACAAAAGGTGTGTGTGTGTCTGTGTATGTGTGTGTGTGTGAAGGAGGAGGCATCAGTGTGTGGGTGGGTGGGTGAGTGGCTGCTCTTCCAGAGGTTTTGAGTTCTATTCCCAGCAACCACATGGTGGCTCACAACTATCAGTAATAAGATCTGGTGCCCATTTCTGGCCTGCAGGCATGAATGTAGGCAGGACACTGTGTACATAACAAATAGATTTTTAAAAATAAATAAAGAATAAATAAATAAATAAAGAGATGAAGGGGATTCTTGGGCTAGAAATATTTGTTTAATTAGAAAAAAAGGCAAACGTGTTTGTAGAGTCTTCTTGAGTTTTCCACAAATGAAGAGGTCCATGACAATTGTCCCATCCCCCTACCCTAGCCTAGGCTGTCATAGGAGTTAACTCCTCAGTCCTTTCTCCGCCTCTTGCTACCTGCTTGCTCCTGTAGGCCATTTCATTTCTTTTTTTAAAAGAAGGTTTATTCTTTTTGTCTTACATGTGTGGGTGTTTTGCCTGCATATATTTCTGTGCACCACATATGTGTCTGGTCCCCCCGGCCAGAAGAGGCAATGGGTCCCCTGAAACGAGTTACAGACAGTGTGGGTGCTGGGAATGGAACCCGGGTCTTCTGGAAGAGCAGCCAGTATTTATAACCATCAAAGCTTCTCTCAACAGAGTTTAGCTCTTGATCTTCCATCCTTAGCCCCTCTTGGGATTATAGGTCTACACCACCACCCCACTGTAGACTCCTTTAATAACATACCCCGGCCTCACCCACAGCCACACTGGCGCACACATAGTTGAAAACAAAAGACGGACAAATGTGGGCAGGTTCCCACAAGATGCACACCTGGAAGTCCACACAGAGCTGGGCTGCCTCAGTCGGCCAGGAAAAGGAGAATTTTCTACACTCACTGGAGAGACAAAATAGTGAGCCCTTCAGGGAGAAGACTCGAGCTGGCCCTTAGAGTGAGTGGAAATGAGGCTCCGCGGTCCTCAGGTGCTGGGTTGCACCTGACCTGAGTCATCGTTAAAGAACGGTTTTCTTTTTAAGATGGAGAATTTCAAGGTCCAGAGACCTGACAGTCAAGGCAGGAAGACTAAATTCCTAGGTCTGAGGATGAAAGGCAAGAGAGACTTGGTTAGAAGGCACCAGGCCTAAGTTCCTGCTTTGTCTTTTGAGACTGGGTCTCAGGCAGTGCAGGCTAGGCCCAAACTCCTCTCTTCCTGCCCCCATCTCTCAAGTGCAATGATTACAGGCTTGCTTTCACACTCCGCTTCTATGTTCTAGACTGGGGAAATTTTGGAGGCCTGTATTCCTAGGACCTCAACAGAGGAGTTTATGGAGGGGTGTCCCCCCCTACGCCCCTGCCACACACACATCCGATGGATCCTATTGCATCCTTGTAGGAGGACAAAGGTGATGGTGGGGTGTCTGCATTTGCCAGAAGAGAAGGCTAAGGGTGAAGTCCTAAAACTCCAAAACTGCTGAGCCCAAGGACTGAGCCTGGGCCTGGGCCTTAACGACGGGCGTGACACCAGGAATCTCGAGGGGCTAGGGCTTGGCGCAGGCTCCCTCCCGGGGTTCCCAAGCCGCTCAGTGCGCAGAGCCGCCACGCTATTGTCCTGGCCGGGAAGGCGGGGCCGGCGCGGGGCGGGGCTGGCGGCGCCGGCGCAGCCCGGGGGCGGCGGGAGGAGGAGGAGGCGGCGGCGGCGGTGGCGCTGGTAGCTCCTGTCACCGCTGGGGCCGGGCTGGGCCGGGCGGGAGCGCAGGGGACTTGAGGGCGCGAGGCCCGGACATGGGGCCCGCCAGCCCCGCCGCTCGCGGCCAGGGTCGCCGCCGGGGCCCGCCGCCGCTGCCGCTGCTGCTGCCACTGTCGCTGCTGCTTCTGCGCGCGCAGCTCGCCGTCGGGAGCCTGGCCGGTGGGAGCCCCAGCGCGGCCGAGGTGAGGCCCGGCCGGGTTCTGGGGATGGGGGGAAGGGGCGGGACCGGGCCTCTGGACCTGGACGTGGCGCGACCACCGCAGAAAGCGCTGTCCTTTTAGCCAGGTGGCCTGCTCCGTGAGCTCCAAACTCTAGGTTTTCCATCATCTGACATCCCTGCCCCCTCCCACCCGCATCGTTGGACCTGTCTTTCCTAGAGCCCCTGGTCCTAGAAATCCAGCTCACCCCTAGCCGACAAAGCCCAAGCCCTGCCCACCTGAACGTAGGACCCACCAGGCAGCAGGCGCTTGCATCTTAGAATCTAGGTCCCTTGTATCCCCTGGACCCACACAAGCCCCCTGCCCCCTAAACATCCAGGAGTCCAGGCCTCCACCCACCACTCAATCCGGATATTAGCTCCCTAGTTCTTACGGGCCTGATGTGCAGGCCTTCGGGGAAGCCAGGCCCTTTCGTCTTTGCACCCCCTCAATGGGAGCCCGAACTGGAGATGGGGGGAGGTGGGGCCAGAACGCCTAGATTGCCCCCCAACCCACGATTCAAGTTTAACCCCTTCGGGCTCCAGAGCCAAGACGCTGGGGCGGGGGCGGAGCCTGTCTTCTCAGCAACAAGGCCGCGAGAAACCCAAGGGAGGGGGACTGGGTTCACCATAGCAACGGGAGAGCTGGGGCGCTCTCGCCCCACGGGATCTGTTTCCCGGGGAACGGTCCCTCTACCCAGGAGAGATTAGAAGGATGTGGTGCTAGGGGCAGGTGTCCATCTGGGTTTTAGGGAGCAAGGCACCAGATAACCCAGATGCCAACGTTCTCCGGGCCCTCACTGCTCCATCTGCCTCCACTCCCAGGCTCCGGGGTCAGCCCAAGTCGCTGGACTATGTGGGCGTCTAACCCTTCACCGGGACCTGCGCACCGGCCGCTGGGAACCAGACCCACAGCGATCACGACGCTGTCTCCTGGACCCGCAGCGTGTGCTGGAGTACTGCAGACAGGTGGGCGGGACCCATGGGTAGAGGCGTGGCCAGTGGTCCGTGGGTCCAAGCTGGGGCGGGGTCGCCCTTGAGGAAGCCAGACTTGAGAAAGGCCAAGACCAGGGAGGTGGGAGGATCTGGAAAGCCTAGGGAAGTTCGGGGTCTGTGGTCAGCGAGGAGGCGAGCCGGGTCTAGGGCAGAACCTATTTTGAGATATTAGGAGGGGAGAAAGCTGCAAAAACGTCGGCTAATCAAGATCGCCTGAAGAGTGGCAGGGCTTAGAAATCTGTGGAGCTATTTAGAAAAAGTGGGAGTGTGAGTGGGCGTGGCCAAACGAGAGGCTGGGCTTAGATAAAAAGACCTTTAAACCAACAAGCTGCGGGAAGCGACGAGCCCAATGAGAGTGGGTTCCAAGGAGGCGTGAAACGAAAAGGCGGGGCTAACTCCATGAGAAGAGTTACTTAGAAGCTAAACAGAAAGGCAGGGCAGGAGAGAAGGCGAGATATTTTAAGGAAGAAACCTGATGGGGCAGGGTGGCCCTGAGAAGTTGAGCTTCATGACCTGGCCTGGGGACCTTCACCAAGACCATCAGAGAATGGCGAACTTAAGGGACAGCACTAGGGGCATGACTAACGGGCACCCGAGGCTTAGCTACCTGTTAGTGCTATAGACAAGGGAGGAAAGCCCGGGAGATGTCCTTATGCATACTAGAAACTAGAAAAGGGAAGGACCAGTGAGCGTAGCGGTCCCAGCTGCTGGAGAGGCTAACGTAGAAGGAACGCAAATTGAAGGTTTTCTTAGGCTGCAAAATGTTCAAGGCCAGCTTAGGAAGCTTATTGAGACTTGGTTTCAAAATAGAGAGTAAAATGAGGGCTGGGCATGTAGCTCAGGGATAGAGTACTTGTTTGGCATGCAGGAGTCCCTGAGTTCAAACCCTAGGACTGCAAAAAACGAGAGAGCTGGGGTAGCCAGTGGGTTGATCTCCACTTCCTGGTCCGCACAGATGTACCCAGAACTACACATAGCCCGCGTGGAGCAGGCTGCACAGGCCATCCCAATGGAGCGCTGGTGTGGTGGTACCCGCAGCGGCAGATGTGCCCACCCCCACCACGAGGTTGTCCCCTTCCACTGCCTGCGTGAGTCACCTGTTGGGGGGTGGGAACTGAGGTGAAGTGGGGGTCTCTCAGAGATGAGCTTCTGAGCTTGACTCAGACCTACATGGGAAGTCTGGGTTTCAGGTAGGACCTCTGAGCTCTGAGGAGGCCAGGGCCGGGCTGTTAGGATTCTGGTGTCTCCCATTCCACAGCTGGTGAATTTGTGAGTGAAGCCCTGTTAGTGCCCGAAGGCTGTCGGTTCTTGCACCAGGAGCGCATGGACCAGTGTGAGAGCTCAGGCAAGAGGCATCAGGAGGCACAGGAGGTGAGACCCTGGCTCGCCGATCTAAACCTAGAACTCTAGGCCCTTCCTTCCAGGCCAGGACCCAAGCAATTCCATCCCTCATCCCCTCCTCCTGGAAGCCAGCATCCAGGCTCCCTGTCCACACCCTCCAACCAAGTCATTCTGGCCTCCGGGCCTCGTCTTCCTGCAGGCCTGCAGCTCCCAGGGTTTCATCCTGCATGGCTCCGGCATGCTTTTGCCCTGTGGCTCCGATCGGTTCCGAGGTGTGGAGTATGTGTGCTGCCCGCCTCCAGCAACCTCCAACCCTTCTGGGACAGCAGCTGGGTGAGTGGCAAGAGCCTCTCTGTACCCTTCCCGGAAGCCTGGGAACCTAGCCGGAGACCTTACTGCCTGAGTCTTCTCCTTCAGCGACCCCTCTACCCGGTCCTGGCCCCTGGGGGGCAGAGCAGAGGGAGGCGAGGATGAGGAAGAGGTGGACCCCTTCCCTCAGCCAGTAGATGATTACTTCGTGGAGCCCCCTCAGGCTGAAGAAGAGGAGGAGGAGGAAGAGAAACGGGTCCCACCCCCCAGCTCCCACACTCCGGTCATGATCAGCAAAGGTGATCTAGTCCCCCCGGCTCTCTTCACCATTTGTGGTTGGGGGGCCTGTGGGGGCCTGTGGGGGCCTGTGGGGGCATCTTCAGGAGTGACCTGGTGGGAGGGG